ACTTAATGATGAAGGTGAGCGTGTCTTAAAAAATACTAAAGTTATAGGTAAGTGGAAGGATGAGAATGGAGGAGATCAAGCTATTGGCTATGCAGGAGTTCGTGCGAAATGCTATAGTGTTGTGTGTGAAAATTCTCGAAAAAATATGATTAAGGCTAAAGGTCTTAAAAAGTCTCTCATCAAGAAAGAGCTTTCACATAAAATATTCGAGGACTGTGTTTTAGAAGGAAAAGAGGATCAACCACGAACCGCTCAATTCCTCCGAAGTTACAGACATCGAATGTACAGAATAAGGCAAACAAAGAGAAGTGTTAACCCATTTGATTCAAAATTGTGGATAGCTCAAGATAATGTAACGACATATTTATATGGGGATTGTGAAATTCTGGAAGAATAAACACCTAACTAAATCGTTCTACTTATTGTAATGAATATATCTATTTTTTGATCAATAGTAAATAAATATAAAAAGTCTTAGTTAATAAAATCTATGTATTTGAAATATAAACATGCCCAATATTTAAAGAATGGACAAAAAATAGTTATACCCGATACATGTTAACCAAATATGGTTTAAACTATATCAATAATCTAAAAATACCAGAAGCATGGTTACAATTTGTGAAGTATCATCCACCCATATATATACGAAGACATTTATTAATACTAGGATATAATATTAATAAAAAGGTTCATTGGAGAAACTTTGTATTTCGTATTAAAAATAATTTAACCAGAAATGAATCCATAGCCAATAACTCTGAATTTAGAGAATTTTAAACCCAAGTAACATATTTCCTAACTTTATATATAAAAAATCAATCAGCGATTATTATCCAACAAGCATATCGGTTATGGAAAAAACGAATAAATTCAGCTAAAATAATCTGGCATGCAGTAATTAAATGGCTCTATCGACCTGATGGAATATTTGTAAAACATGCTCAAGATCGGTATTATCAAAATGCCAATAAAATTAAAAATTAGCAGTAGATCTATTAATAAACCCAGCCAAGAGTTATGTTACTATACTGATGAATATTCTCGAAAGTTCTGGTAAGCCTTTCATTATGCAGTTCTGTGAATTACTAATAAAAAAACACATCCTGATTTACATGCAGATCGTAAAACAGGGCATCGTTAAAAAGAAATTCAAAAATAGAAATAGAGTGATTATAATCTATGCCCGTGAATGAACAAATTACCAAATCCAAAATTAGTATTTTGTAAATCATTTATGGCCAGTAGATCGATCGGTTCTTGATTCATACTAAATAATTCTAAATGAACAAATCGTCAAATCTAAAATTAGTAAAGTCAAAGACTCGATACTATGTATCATCTAAATTTTTTTTAGCCATGAAGGGTATACTATAAAATAAGCTAAGTATAATAAAAGTTTGTTATAAGAAACTTATCTGTACTTGCTTCGCTGATATTATCATGTTCCTTATTAATCTTCAAAACCTCGCTCTTAATATTTTAAAAGAAACAAAACATGACGCAGTACAAAATATCAAAGTTACAGAATTGCCACCATGTAAAATATGTAATAAAAAAATTTTAACAGTTAGCTTTGAATCTTTTACAATACTTTCATGTAGCCACGTATATCATAGAAAATGCATTGAAAAAAATTTTTTACTTACGAAAGAAAACAAATGTCTTATTTCTGATTGTGACAAAACTGTTGATCCTGTAATATCTGAACAAAGGTTTTCTGAATCATCTCAGTTTAGTGAAACTTCGGCTATTGCAGATATGTTAGGCAATAATCTTGGACTAGACTCACCAATGTATACATCACCATTATTAGGTCAGAAAGAACATGAAGGTGGAACACAAAAAAAACATACAGTCGACTCTGAATATAACGAACCTTTTTATAACGAACTCACTTTATAATGAACTTTTTTTAGAAAATTTATTATAGAGTTCGGTATAAAAACATAGTAAATTCTCTATAAGGAACTTTTTAAAAATTTTTACATATAGACCCTCAGGGTTCGTTATATGCAGAGTCGACTGTATTATAGAATCAGTAGATAAATCCAATAAAAGACAGAAGATAACTACTGAGGAGGGCGAATCTTCTACAGTAAAAAAGCTTATCAAAGAATTAAAAGATGATAGTGTTAATAAAGATTTAATATTTGCTTCTCAGTTATCTGAAGATGGTTATACTTATCTTTACAAAGAAATTGTTAAAGCCGAAGCTGAAATGATATTGCAAGTCAAAAGGTTTAAAAAAGGTCCAATCCCACAAATCGGTGCATATGGTGGGAATACATAGAAATAAATTATCAGCATTACTATGTTGACTCGTATATCGGGTAATCGTTAAACAGATTAGATTAACACATGTTTTTCATGCGACCCAAATTTTCACATATACCCCATTCGTCGTTTTTATTAAAATTAATTTTTTTCGCCGACCAGTACATTTGACTTTCCATTTGTATTCCGTTATAATAAACTTAAACTTACCAATACTATGTGAAGCTAATGCTAAAAAAAAAAAATGCTATTTTAGCAATGCATCCATCCTTGTATAAAAACATGTAATATCCTCAAAAAGTCGTCAACATGGAGGCTTCTAATACGTAGTAGAGTTCTTACATAGAATATTTTAAAGGAATCAGGCATCCTCGCAAGTGGTATTCGAGTTCCAGAACTAAAATTATGCCCGACAAGTTGCGGTGGAATTTTGTCTAACCCTTCACAATCAATTACAATTCTAAGCCCAGTATCGTGAATTTTGTTGATTAAACATAAATAAACCGCGGAAATTACGTGAATATATATTCATGATTGTAAAGATGCCAGCTTAAATTAAAACCCGGTTAAACTAATCCCGGCCAAACTACTTTCACATCCCCATTTGTAGCTCATGACCTTTTGGGGAAGTCACACCTATTTAAAAATTATGATTGCCCTTGGATCAGAAAATCAAAAATGTCTCAAGAACCAAGCACAAGTCTGAGAAGCCCCTCGGAACTTGCCGACAGTACTAGTGAATTTAGACGGAAAGACATAAGTGCACTTAATATTCACTACGCAGAAGGAGCCATCGAAATGTTCGGAGATCCGCCTGATTTTTCATACAATACCAGTCTTCTCTTGCGAAATGCGAGCAAGGACCAGCTTCTTGGTGTCTGGACTGACGATTCCTTTACCAAAGGCTGGAATAATAAAGAAAGAGCACTAGCTAGATATATATCAAATGTATTAATTAAAGAACTTGCGAGTGCAGGAAAGCGTGAGAGAGTTACCGACTCATTTGTAAACTTTCTTTTAGGAGTTTTAGAATTTAATGAATACCCGCTTTCCTTGGAGCTGAAGGCAGATTGTTATTTCAGGGTGTACAATAAAAAGGTGACATCGGAAACTGACTTTTCTATATGGAAGAGTAATCTATTTGTGATAATTGATGAAGACAAGCACTTGCATAACGTTACCAAAAATACTTGGTGGGGCGAATGTCAAATAGCTGGTGAATTATTGGCTTCAGCATTTGTAAACCACGAGGAAATACGAGGAAGATATCATGCTCAATCATTATTTGCAATACGTGTAATTGGGACACGGTTTACGTTTTACAGGGCAGAAATTGAGTTTAATTATCTTATCAGTCTTTCTGAGGGATTTCCGACTGACAAAATGTATATATACAAGTATCCAGTGGATCAAAATACAGATCAATTTCCGTGTCTTGATTATACAGATCCTGATCAAAGAAAAGAGATCCTAGAAATTTTAATAAAGATAAAAAATTTCGTTATTCAAAATAAAACAGTTTCACGATAATTACCTATATAACAAAGCTAGATTAATGATAACCAATAGCACATTGCAATAGAATTTTGCTTCTTTTGATAGTTTCAATCAATCATGCAAAATGTAAAATTCTTTATTATGTACGTGGACAAGTCCACACTAAATATATATCTATTTGTTTTATTGATACAAATGAAAACATATGTGAACACTTCGTGAGTGCTCCTGCTTTGCAACAAAAATAAATGTGGTCATCTACACAAGAAAAAATACATGAAATGTCTCCATATACATTTATTTTTACAATTCCACCTATGTAATTAAATATACATCTGATATTGTAAGATCCTTCTTTATAGTGGCCTTATGATTCTCGTGGATTTAGATGTGTTGCAGTGAAAAATACATCATCGGAATTGATGTAATAACTAAAAGATATTGATCCAATATTTTATTAATGATATGTTTTTGCTTTTTTCTCTGGATCACCGGGTAAAGTAGAAATTGGAGGTTGAGATTCGGATGGTTTGCTAATATTGGCTTTTGCACCTAATGATGATATACTTACCCAAGCTGTGTTGGAAACTCGAAGCTTTGCTTCTTCTGGTAATTTTGATCATTAATAATATTAGGTGTGGGGTTTCCTCACTTACCTCGGTTTCTAATAATACACTTAACTGGATTTCCGGTGGAACCTTTTTCTTGGCTTCCTCATTTATTTTGGTGTTTCTAATAACTTCTTCGACTCAACTAAAATACTTATGAATTTATATGAAGGTGATTATCTTCCATTTTTGAACTAGCATAACTCTGCTCGTTTCCTTGGGAAGCGGTTTTTGAGATAGGTGATATACTTGATTTTATTCATTTTATCCAAATAACTTATGAATTTTTTAGCCATAAGAGTTTTATTTCACAAGGCAACTTACATAATACCAGGTAGATGTTTACTAGCCTACTAGTTATATAATTATAAAAAAAATATAATTAGCTGGATTATATTTATTATATATATAATAAAATTCAAACCGATTGGGAAAATAGCCATTTTGTTTTGAAACACCCAAACAAGTATATCTCCTTGATTTCCTTGTATACTTGGGTTTTTGCAATTTTATCTGTAAGCCTGTCTTATGATGAATTTCAATAAAGTTAAACCATACTTATTGTGCAACATACTCCCAACGATACCCTCCAGCTTGAGCTTGAAGTCCCCGACACACCTTCCAAATATGATTAATTCCAGTAACACGCCGTGCTTCAGCTATGGATGGAAATTCTCGGAAAGATCCGTCACCAAAAATCTGCTTTACAGCACATCGGTGCCCAAGCCCAAGATGTACAGCATGTTGCATAATTTCTTTTTGTGTGCACCATTCAAGATTGGATGCATTATTATTTGTAGGGTTGCTATCAATATGATTTACGTATTCTTTTTCTTCTTCTTTTGGACAAAACGCCAATGCCACCAAGCGATGAACAAGATATCCTTTTCGAGCGACTTTTCGATAACCCATATGCAGTGAACCTTGGGTGATTTCACAATTTGGTAACTAAATTCTTCCAAGAGATGAAACTCTGAATTTTCGTGAATCAAGCTCTATTTCCCTCCATTCTTTGTTTGGATCAGGCTCTATGTGATCTTCATAGTACATCCAACGCCAGCCACCAGAAGTTTTTTGCTTCCCGCTACAACATTCTGAAATGCAAGATTCTGAAATTTTGAGTGCACCACTGGCAAGAAGGATAGAATCCCAAATCTGAACAACATTTCCGTCTAGCATTTTCTGCACAATTTTTCTGGATCCGATACTGCCGTGATTTGGAAATATCCTACGTTCAGCATTCTCTTTAGGAGTTACCCACTCCAAATTATCAGCCCGATTATTATGTTTGATACCATTGATATGATTAACATAGGGCTTGTTTTCTGGATTAGGGATGAATGCTCGTGCAACCAAAATATGAACTGCAATACTCTTTTTTAACACAATTAACTTTAAACACAATTTGTACATAACCTTTTTTTTTGCAGGCATTTAGCTTAAATATCATACCTTTTTTCTTGATACGCCCGAGATTTGAAACTAGTAAGTCTGAAGCAGTTGTTACTGGTAACCAAATTTCCATTATGATATTTATTATCATATCTATATCTTAAATTTAGACCGTAAGTGTTCAGCTCAGGTTGAAGTTAATAAAAAGTTTGGAAATCGACTTCCTGGTGATATATCAAAAACTACTATTCGAAAGAAAGCAGAAAGAGCTCGAAAGATTTACATGGTTTTTTGTGATAATATGGAGGGGTTGATAAGACGAATGTAATCCTATACTATGATAGCCATCTCAAAATTGAGTGCTGATGATATCGTATATGCAATAGCTCAGATTAAAATCAAAACATCATGTACTTCACACAATGTAATGATTATACTGTTATATAATACAAAGGCAATACTGCGCCACTGTATCATGTGATATGCTGACCTCTGGGTCAGCAACTTTCATTTTATTTTTATTATTTTTACAATTATTATATACCAGGAATGATATAATAAATTTTCGTAAATTCGCTTTTATAACAAAATGGTATACCAGTATTTTTACCTTATGAGGCCTATGCTTGTAAACGGGTCACAAACACAAGTACAACACATTACAGGTTTGTAAGATAAAAAATTTAACCACGTATATGTATATTATTTTTTTTAAATAAATAATAATGAAAACTCTGAATAATATATACAAACAAAATTATATCGAAAAGTGGCATATCTTTAAAGGGTGGAAACACGGGTGTAAAGTTTGTGACGAATGCAATCACCATTCACACCTATATTGCAAAACATGCAAAAAAGTAGCGAATGGAATATATAAGCGGTGTGAATGCGATAACGTGTTAGAATAAATTTCGCATACGTATAAATTTATCTGTACTGTAATACCTTACAAGGCTTATCATTATGCATAACTCATGTGGAACGAGTAAAAAGTACCATTTTTAAGTTTTTCTCGAAATAGTACCCTAACCCAAATTCGGTCAACAATCTCATGACACATACGTTATCTGTGCAACCAAATCTTTATACGAATTTTTTTGAATTTTATTTACAAACGTTCATAGAAAAAATAATACCCAAGCTTTAGATCTACTCCAAAGCCGGTACAAAAATTTATTCATTCTAACCCACCTTCTCGCAATACTTGCTCGAAGCCAGAGAGTAAGTGAACCCTGAATTGCTTACTATATATCTTTTTTCTCGCAAGCTCGAAAAAATCTTTCTCTACGCCGTAATGCTGAAGATCTCGAGATCTCCAACATGCATTCCACATGCCTAAGGGTCACCCTATGACCAACGTAGTGTAATGTAGAAGGTAAAAAAATGGCGTAGAGCACATATAGGTCCTTTTTCTGCTATTGTCCTGCCATTTGTATTGCCATTCAGAGAAGAGCGAATTCCATTTATAAAGGGGAGTATAATGAAGTTATGGAAGTTTATCGCTTTACAGTGATTAAAAAATCGAACTAACATTTATTGCTTCCAAAATGTCTGAAAATTATTTTTACCTTAACCGCAACCAACCAAGCAATGTATTGTATTTTAAAGAATGGTTGCCAAATGTCTATCTACCGAAGGTTAAGACTTTGAGAAGAAACAACGTTAATATAGCAGAATCTCAATACCGCCAGGAGCTAGAAGAAGCTATAACTACGTGTGGGACAAATAATTCAAAAAATAAGCGAAAGCTAGTGGAGATCTTATCTCAGTTTAACGCGACTTCTAAGGTATGTAATAAAAAATGGGTTATCTATTTTTTCGGAAGATGATGAACAATTTTGCAGAAGGGGATGGAAAAATAACAACATAGGCCTATGTTGCTGTCTGTATCCGGGTGTACGTGATAAAGTTTTTGCGTATGTCTTAGCTTACGGAACGCTAGCACCGTAAGCATCGAAGGGTGCAGTTCAGGGGATTCATCGTTCCGGTGTGGGTCTCACACTAGGTTCGGTACGAGCTATGCCTTGTGTACCTCGTCGCTGACCGTGGGCATGGATCCCATTTATATTATAGAAAATGAATAACTTTGGAATAGCTGATTTCATATATTATATTATATAATTATATTATCTTGAAGATACTAGATTAAGTTATTTTTCTTCTTCTGTTTTAGGAACAACGTCAAAAATTTTATAAAGAAGCTTGGACGGGAGAAAAGGAGAAAGTAAGTATAAATATATATGTACCTCATACTATCCAAAACGAAAAGCGCTTATCTTTTTTTCATTTTTTACTAATATAGCGACAAGCTATGGAGCAGGAACGTAACGTTAATATAATTCAAGAGAATATAGAATTTATATTAAGCGGATGTGTAAGTAAATATCATAATTTTGATTTCTGGTGTGTTTATTGTTAATTGGGAAATATTATCTATAGAGAGTTAAGCTAGGAAATAGTTGCTCGGAAGCTACTATGGTCGCATATACCGAAATTGTTCGTCATTTGGAACGCTTAGATCCAGCGACGATTAAACCAGAAGTTCCTTTAGCATCTGGTATTATTGATCTCTCCGGAAATGAAGACCCATTTGTAAATTTGTTATCGTCTAGGTCTAAGCAGATTTTGATGCACCATGAGTTCGGCAATAATGAATTTCCGGGAGAAATTAAATTCATGGTGGACGATTTCGTAGACACGTATAAAGATCTGAGACCTGACTTT